CTTTTTTAAACTGAGGAAAACGTGGTTATTGATAGCATTTAATGAGCAACTAGGAACTTTTACATTTCTCACTACTTATGACACAAATTTCTCCACCTTGAGAGAAATTCCTCAAACTGGCTTTTTATTTGTAGAGATCCATTTGGAAGAAGAGTTTTGCAGTGGCAAATGACATTTAGGTCTCTGATTTTGCTATTCTAACGAAAAATATTTTTCAATATCACACTGTTCTTGGATGTACTAAGCCTTGCTGGCATGGTCCACTCCCATCGTCAGAAGAAAGAAAGAAAAGATACATTTACCGGTGATAACACGCTAAAAGTAATATAAGCGGATAGGGTGTAGGCACGTCACAATTTTTGTTAAACATATATTTTATAGCTTAAATAATAAGTGGGTAGTGTGACTAATATGGTGATGCTTCCCAATAACACCCAATACAGAAACTCAATAATATACACAGTATACTCGTATATACAGGAAACCCAGTGCAGATGATAAATGAATGGAATAATACCACCACAGAATGAAATACAGTAGGATAGTACATAAAAAATAAAACACAACATAGTGTGAACTGTATAAAAGTATAAAATAGTAATTGAACATAGGACTACCACTCACATTTCCCAAAGCCGTACCAGGCTCTGTATAGCAGGCTCACGAGTGCCAGTACAGGCTAGCGGTTCCAATTTCAATGAGATAGGATGGACTTGGGATAGGTTTCAAAACAATTAATTGAAGATATAATAAAATATAAAGATAACTCAAAGGGTGCTATGGGGGTGGAACCCAACATCAAAATACAAAATGGTTAAAAAAAGGCAGAGATCCACTCACCCCTATAGTAAGTCACCCATAGTTCAGTTATAAAAAAAAAAGGTTAAAACCTATGTCAGCAAATGCATTTCGGCGATCAGCCTTCTTCAAGTGCTGGTTTCCAAGTCCCCACAATCTTCTTTTAAATGTTCCCTCTTCCTTGCTCATCTGTTTGAAATTTCTCATTACCGATGCGTCACTTCCGTTTTTTGCCGCTGACGTCACTTCTGTTTTCTGCGCAATGGAACGCATGTTCCATAGGTACTATCCTACTGTATTTCAGTGTATGGTGGTATTATTCCATTCATTTATTATCTGCACTGGGTTTCATGTAAATACAGGTATACTGTGTTTATTATTGAGATCCCAAGCTAAAGCCAAGTTTTTCCTGCAGCCCCTTTCTCCTTCAGTGACATCACTCCCCCTTGCTGAAGGGATGTCCAGGAGAACTGGACTGGCTAAAGATGATGCCTTGGCAACGTGCTATATCTTTGTATGTGCTGCATTTCAGACTTAAACGCTGCACATACAGGCTTCACACACCATCACCGCTTCAGCATCATCACCAATCAATGAAGTGGTCATGGTGCTTGGAGTAACCTTTCAACCTTACAATACTCTTTGCATGGAATTGAACAACAAAATACATATTCTCAAAACACACTGTTGTGTTTAAAACATTGTGGCTTATTAAAACTTCAAGAAAATTATTCCTCCTACTTTGCATGGCACAGAACAATGAAACACTTAGGTGAAAGGTTAGGAGTAAACAGTCTTCTTTCTTCAGAAAGTGGAAAAAAACAACACTGCACATCAGTGATCACACAAGGTATGAGGTTCAAAGTTACATACATAGTTACATAGCTGAAAAGAGACTTGCGTCCATCAAGTTCAGCCTTCCTCACTTTTGTCTTTTGCTGTTGATTCAAAAGAAGGCAAAAAAAACAGTTTGAAGCACAATTTTGGAACAAGCTAGGAAAAAAATTCCTTCTTGACCCCAGAATGGCAGTCAGATTTATCCTTGGATCAAGCAGTTATTATCCTACATTGAAAGATTATATCCTTGAATATTCTGTTTTTGCAAGTATGCATCTAGTAGCTGTTTGAACATCTGTATGGACTCTGATAAAACCACTTCTTCAGGCAGAGAATTCCACATCCTGATTCTTCTTACAGTAAAAAAAACCTTTCCTTTGCCTTAGACAAAATCTTCTTTCTTCCAGTCTAAACGCATGGCCTTGTGTCCTATGTAAAGTCCAGTTTGTGAATAGATTTTCACACAATGGTTTGTATTGGCCCCGAATATATTTGTATAATGTTATCATATCCCCTCTCAGGCAACGTTTTTCTAAACTAAATAGGTTTAAATTTGTTAACCTTTCTTCATAGCTGATATGTTCCATTCTATTTATTAATTTTGTAGCCCACCTCTGCACTTTTTCTAGTGCCATAATATCCTTCTTTAGAACAGGTGCCCAAAATTGCACAGCATATTCAATGTGTGGTCTTACCAGTGATTTATAAAGAGGCAAAATGATATTCTCGTCCCGAGAATGAATGCCCTTTTTCATGCATGACAATACCTTACTGGCCTTGGCCACTGCTGATTGACATTGCACATTGTTGCATAGTTTGTCTATAACAAGTTCCAAGTCCTTTTTGTGTGTTGTTATCCCTAATTCGCTTCCATTAAGGGTATATGTTGCTTGTGTATTCTTTACGCCGAAGTGCATAACTTTGCATTTTTCAACATTACATTTCATTTGCCATTTGAGTGCCCAGTCCCCCAGTCTATCTAAATCCCTCTAAGTAATATCTTGCTCACATTGTATTTTACAAAGTTTTGTGTCATCTGCAAACACTGAAACATGACTTTCAATGCTGTCTTCAAGATCATTTAGAAATATGTTAAATACAAGGGGTCCCAGAACAGACCCCTGAGGGACACCACTTGCCACCTCTGTCCAGCTTGAAAATTTACCATTAATGACAACTCTTTGTACTCTGTTTTTAAGCCAATGTTCTACCCAAGAACAAGCATTTTCATCTAGACCGATTTCCTTGAGTTTGAACACTAATCTATTGTGTGGAACTGTATCAAATGCCTTGGCAAAATCCAAATAGATCACATCCACGGCAACACCCTGATCTATACTTCTACTTACTTCTTCGTAGAACGCAATCAAGTTAGTTTGACATGACCTGTGCTTCATAAAACCGTGCTGATTTTTGCTGATAACCATGTTCTTCTCAAGGAATTCTTGAATGTTATCCCTTAATAACCTTTCAAATATTTTACCAGCCACAGAAGTTAAGCTCACAGGTCTATAATTTCCAGGCAAGGATTTTAAACCTTTAAACTTTTTGAATATAGGAACCACATCTGCCTTCCTCCAATCCTCTGGAACACTTCCTGAAAGAAAAGAATCTTGAAAGATTAAAAACAGAGGTTCACTTATTTCTACACTTAGTTCCTTAAGTACACGTGGATGGATACCGTCAGGCCCTGGAGCTTTGTTTATATTAACTTTCTTTAGTTGCTGCAGCACCTTGTCTTGAGTTAACCAATTACAATTATTCTGCAAGTTTTTAGTAGAAATCATTTGCACTAAAGGAAAAGTTCATGGTAGTCATTTCCTTAGAACAAAGCTGTTTTTCTTGTACTTCCTTTCCTTAGAGAACTTGACCCACCTGTTCCATCTGACCTTGACTGCACACATACACAGGCTCCAACACCTTGGCAAACGATGCCGCAAATGGCCAAGGAACCACAGTTTCCTTCTCCTGTTGGATGACCTTAAATCTTTCTATAATTAAGAGAAATTCTTCTTCCAACTTCTTGATTACACAGCTTCATATTCATCTCGGGCAGGGGTAGGCAACCTTCGACAACCTTCGGTCAGACCGTCAACAGTATTGAGGACTTATTTTTCATTATTGTTTTTATACAGATATTTTATTTTTATGAGTGTTTTTATACTTAACAATACATTTTATTTTTTACTCAACTCCTTCCTGCTGACAAAAGCATCCTGTGTTCCTGACATTCACTTACAGGGTTTTGTGTCCCCTCATTGACACATACACTATTATACTCAGAGCCAGGTTCTAGGCTCTGAATCAGGTGAGCAGTTCTGTTTACTTTATCACCTCCATTGAAATATATCTATATATTGCACCATTTCTGGTCTCTTATCTCTTAAAGGAACAGTGTGACCCTCTTCCACTGTAAGGTTTCGTGTCATCCCAAACACGCCTGCCTAAGCGATCTGAGCCTATCCTACTAAGGCTCAGAACCATGTGAGTGGGTTTATATCTTTCATTACCACTCCATTACCACCCATACATATTAAACAATATTGCTCTTTATCTCATCCCCACCTCTAGGTTATTCAAACAGCCCAAGAGGGGGGTGAGTTTCCTCACTTTGAGCGCTCCACCTACTGACTGGTGTCGGTTTATTAACCACTCAGTCCACCACCAACCTTCGGTCTCTACTTAGTCTTATGACATCATTTAATTGCTTTGGGATTTCCGTAAAATAACAATGAAGTCAGTGTGAGTATTTTTTTTTTTTTATCAAAATACTAAAAAGTGACAGAGATTAGTGGCAGACCTGCGTTAATGGACTGAATGATCGGGTTTTTTCACTATCTTAGAAGGTGGAGGTAATGTGCTATAGACAGGCGATGTGAGTCATCAGAAAGTGGAAAGCCTTCCAAGAATCTCCCTGCTTGCATGGTACACTGTCTGTCACCAGTAACTTCAACATTTCCTCAGCTGCATCTTGGCACAGCACTCAAAAAGCATGATTCTGCAGACATCTGTAAAGGATACTGTAAAAAACATTATCCACATAACAATAGCCACATGGAAGTGAAAAAGTGAAATGTACTTGGTTCTCACATGCTTGACAATAAATAACTTCCTCACCAGTAGAATTCTTCCTGTCAGTGACAATCCACTGTCAGAGTAGACCACTTTTGAGGATTTACTTTTAGGCATGATTCGCCCCTATCCACAACCCATAGGAGGAACTTTGTTACACAGTCATTGGAAGTGACTCATGATCAGCAATACCAAGTAATGAGTTGACTCTCAGTTCTTTTGCTCTCTATCACATAGGTCATCAAATACAAGTTCGTAATTAAACATAATAAGATTAAAAACAAAAATTCTATGAATTAATTGTCATAATTGAGAAAATAAATGGAATTTATTTTGTATTCCTGCAATATTCCTGTTGTATATATTTTGTGAATGACAAGTTCTATGCCATATTTGTGACGTAAGAATAGTTTTATTTATTGCCATATTGTAAGCTGTGTACTATTTTTGTGATTTCCTTTTCTTTCCAGTCTTGATAAAGTGGGTCCATTTAGCGCAGTATGAACCAAGACACAGAGTGTGGAATGACACCATTAAGTTGTGGAAATGGGAAATTGAGGCAGTGGCTTATTGACCAGATTGACAGCGGAAAGTACCCAGGCCTTGTGTGGGAAAATGATGATAGAAGCATTTTCCGTATCCCATGGAAACATGCAGGAAAACAGGATTATAACCGAGATGAAGATGCAGCTCTCTTTAAGGTATCTTATTTATATCCGTTTCACGTAGAGGTCTTCTTTCGGTATCATTTTAAATAATCACGTTTCCTTTTTTCCCTTTCCATTCTGAAATAAGTAGAGGATTAATGGGAATAGGGACCAATGATTGCTGCGTCTGGTCTTTGTTAAACATGGATAAGTAAACCTGCCATGACAGATATAAGTTTGCAGTTTTCTAACAATCTGTCTTGACTCATGTTATACAATTAAGTGTTTCTTCCCTAATACTATTAAAAGCTTACATTTTAATGTACTTACTTTACCTCTGTCTCCTGCAAAGACCATCAATCATGTTTCAGTGGGTGTTACACTTGCTGTAAAATACGTCTTATGTATATCCCTGTTTCTGAAGAACAGACTTGCTTATCATAACAGGTTAAAAGTCCCCTACACTGTATGCTAGCTTTGTGTAAATAAAACATATCTGTTTCCTCTCTGAATGTAAAAAAGACATATCTGTTCCCTCTCTCCATTCTAAGGTTGCCTTCAAAAGCTGCTGCTGGCTGTTTCTCTCTTCTCTCTGTGCTTGCTGCTGGTGCTGCTCTGCTTCCCCGTCCCAGAGGAGTATTTCCCTCGTAACAGACAGACAGAGCACAGCCGACTGTTTCTCTCCTCTCTGTGTGCTTCTAAACACAGACTGAACTGACTGAGGAGGGCTGTTTTTTACCCTCTGATTTTTGAGAAATCTAGACATTTGCAAGAAATCCTATGCATTCTCTTTCATTTAAGATTACGTTGTTTTATTATAAGAGGTATCCTTTACAAACTTTGCTTATCAATCTAAAATGTTTTGATAGTAAAGCTCTGATTCATTTAAAACAAGCATCCAAGTTATAATTTGGTATTGCCATTTCAGAGAAAGAGATTGACAGGTTTGCAGATTGGCAGAGTGTTGGGAGGTTTTGGGAATCTTCTTAAATATACATATATAATGGAGAATGTTTCTCTCTGTGATGTTTAATATACCTAGTTAGGTGATGTATAGGATCTATTCTACAAAAAAAAATTAAAAGTAGTGTCTAAAGGTATTCGCTTACCATTATATTAAAGATCTTAGGTCGGGTAGAGATCAATGCACAGCAGGTACATTAAATGCTAACGTATCCATTGAAAGGGCTATGATTATTGAAGGTAACTAACACCTTAAAGAAAGATTTTTGTCAAGGTTTCACAACTATTGGAAATAGGTCATCCTCAAAGGTGGGAAGCTTCTGGTGGTTTTGGACTTTCGAACATCTACAAAAGTTTGTCATTAGTAAAGAATTAGTAAAGAATTTCAGAAGAAAAAAGAATTAACAAAAGAAGGTGGCAGCCATGCTATGTATATTTGCATAGCAAATACAGAATATGCATAGCTATAAAGAAGTTTATGGAGATACATACAGCTGTAATTTCCCTTTAATTGCATAAAATTTTCATCTTGGAAATGGGAAAAAACAGGGCTGAGCTAAGGTGCAAGTCTCTTTTTATTTGCATCCTTTGCAAACTATATACTGTAAATCATGCACACGAAGTCTATGCTTTTGTGTTGGTTTTCTTGCATGATGCTGTTTTACACCCATGCACCTTAGTAGGTTGGCGTGCCCAAAGTTGTCATGTTTCAGATTTTTTTATAGCATAATTTCAGTTCTTCCGGCAGGGTTGGTGGAGTAAAAAATGACATTAAAATACACACGTAAACACATACAGTTAGACACACACGTGCACAAGCAAACTGACACAAAGAGGCACTGACACACACACACACACACATAGACAGTCATACACAGACACAGATAGGCACACAGGCACCGACAGGTGCACATAGGAACCGGTAGATACACAAAGGAACAGATAGGCAGAGATACACACAGGCACTTACATGTACAAAGAGACACACACAGGTACTGGAAAGCACACATAGAAACAGATAGGTACACACATGCACAGACAGGTACACACATGCACAGTAAAGTACAAACAGATACAGACAGGAACGAATAGGCACCCACAGGCAAACATACTCAGATAGGCACACGCAGACACAGATAGGCACACACAGACAAGAACACACAAGTATACACATAAACCAAAAAAGTTGTCTCTTAACCTTGCCAGTGGTACCTTCCCTGGCCAGTAACTGTTTCAGCTGGCTCGGCACTTTGTGGTCTCCCCGTGTCCTCTTTTGCCAGGCTGGTCTTCTCTCTCTGCCTATGCCTGGTCTCCTTAGTGAGGCTCAGCCATGGTCCTGACAATAGGGACACACAGGGAATATGAAACTCTATGCTATTTAGTATGTATCTCTGTCACTGCCCTGCATCTGCTCATGGGCAACTACTAGACTCATCTAAAAGTCTAGGAGTGGGCAGTGAGAGCAGAGCAGGTACAGAGTAGGGTCTTTTCTATCCAATCCACAATATTGTAGCATGATCGGGATGTTTAGTCTGGTAAAGGTGTCCTCGAAGACAGGCGCAAGGAAAGATTATTTGGGGCTAAATATTCGTGCTACTTCTATGTCTGGTTCTGATACAAACTAATACTAATTTTACACACTTATTTTGATACCTATTATTTGTTTTATGTAGAAACTGAAAGTCTTGATTTCTTTGCTAATGCCATTAGCCTTAAATCAAACTTGTACAGGAAAGTTTACATCCATCTAATAAAGGGGTAATTGATTACATTAGTACCTTTTCATTATTCCCTGATTTTACAATCATGCTAAACTTAATAAAGGTTATGTTTTAATTCTTACTTTTCTAGGCTGACTTTTCTTTTTCCTTGTGTATTTCTATAATCATTTATTAAGTGTCTCATTCCATTTTTGAATAAGATCTTTAAACAGCAGATTGCCATTGGTTCTTAAGGAGTTAATATCGAATTACTCTTAAGTTCAGCACTAAATCATGAGAAGTAGTACTATAAATGTCTATTGCTCTGTCTGCCCATTAGGCTAGTCCTCATTACTTTTTTCTTACTCAGTGTATGACTATAATGCATGTTAAATATTTTCAGAAACAAATGAAGGTTAAAATTCCCCCCTAAACATTTTATTGTAAGATAACCTTTCCACCTCCCACGTTTCTGATTTGAACTGATTTGGCCTCTTTTTTTGAGAGTTTTTGTGAGTCATTTACCAGCAGAGGGCTTGTCTGCATTTCTAAGTACTGTAAAGCATGAGGCTTTCATTTGGAATATGTGGCATGCTTATCAGATGTGGCAATTCTCTCGTGCTCTCTTTCTTTTTTCACAGTTTTTATTGGATTTTTTTAAATGTACATTAACACACATAAATAAATAAAAACCAAGCAAACATTGAACTGTTGTTTAAAAACATTTAAACTGTTTTAATAAGCCAATGATTATTATAAACCTGCAATATTTGTTACAACACAAAGTGCAAAAGCACCAATGCATTTAAAAACCATATCAAATGCATGCATAACAACTAATAAGATAATGCAAACAATATATCAACATAAATTGTATTATATTCTCCTAATTTATCTGGTCCCCTTGTTACCAGTATAATATCTACCTAATTATGTGTATTATACATTTGTATACCTACTAATGGTTTAATGGAAAGTCAAGCTTTGAATATATTTAATACATTCATATTTATGATATTACCGATCACTGAAGATGTTGATGATTGTGTCACAAATCATTTATTTGTAGAGAAAATAATGAGTGGGGATCAACTGTGACAGACCATAAATAGGTTATGTCTCAGTGGTCGAAACTAACAGAGCATCGATGTGAGATTCCAGGGATCTCTCTAAGGGCTTAACCCACTAGTGCCAACGTTACAAAAATAATAAAAGAGGTATGCAAGCACACCACTACTTGTACTTGCATACCTCTTTTACTATTTTTGTAACAAATCATTTATTGTTTTTAAATATGTTCCATGGAACTTGTGAAAATTGGTTGCATCTAATTACCCATCTATACAGATTATGAGCATGAGAAATTCACAGGTATGCCATATGCAATAGCAAAGGTTCCAAAAACATTAACATATATGGAAAGTGGCGAGTTTCACAGAACACATTCATTACTGCCACATAAGATTAAGTGATACTACACAGGACACTCGATTCATAACATAGGTTACCTATTGTACAGTGCTGTGGAATATGTTGGCATTATATCAATAGTTTTATTTGTAAGTGAACAGAAGATAATGTAGAATTAATGGCTGCTCGGGTTCCCATCTTGTTTTGTGCTTGTTAAAGTTGTGCAGCTTCTGTATTGATGGCTTTTGTATTGACTTTTGCAAGAGCATCTTTCTATCCAGACCATGTATGAAAAGTATCACAGAAAGTTTGGCAGTCTACTCACTGAGTATTATTGTAATTCACATGCAGGCCTGGGCACTTTTTAAAGGAAAATACAGAGAGGGAGTTGACAAACCCGACCCTCCAACGTGGAAGACGAGATTAAGATGTGCTTTGAACAAGAGCAATGACTTTGAAGAGCTGGTGGATAGAAGTCAGCTGGATATCTCAGACCCATATAAGGTGTATAAAATTGTCCCAGAAGGAGCAAAAAAAGGTAAACAGTTTTTAGATTTACATATTCAGTAGGACATTTGTTCCCTCTAAATGTTCCTCTTTCGTGTGTGACCATGTTAAACACAGTGACCACATGGATGTCTCTGTTCGAGCTCCTGGCTACTTCCCTCTCCAAGGAGTTAGCAAGCCAGTAGCCAGTAGTAGCTACCTGAGGAAATTAAAAAAATTCACTGTAATGTTTAACGTTTTAACTATTATCGCCCTGTCTTTCTAATTAATGTATTCATTTATAATATCGTTTTCAAACATTGTCTGTGTTTTTAGAAAAGATTAAACTTTTCTATATTGTCTGTTACCACTTAAAACAGTTTGTCAATAGTTATAATGCATGTTATTTTCTTACTTGATATATGTCTCCACTCTTTGCATATTTACAGGCTACTTAGCAAAGTGGGAATTGCAAAATAATTCAATGTGAACTTACATTTTGAAGCCAAAATAGACAATACGGAGAAAAAGACATATCAGTCATGTCTTCAGTTTGTTTACATCAGTCAGAGATATGAAATTCACTTTGAATTCCTGCAGTTCACACTTTTTCTGAATAACTTGGATAATTTAATAATAATTATCTTCTGAAATTGCTCAACCAAAGCAAGCCATTGCAACTTTCTCCTCTTTCCAGCCTTGTCTCAGCTAATTTTGCTGAACAAAATTCAATAACACAGTTACATTACAGATAAAATGAACAAACACTAAACACATTAGTGACAGGTAAAAGTAGGTAGAATAGCATAACATTTAACAAATAATCAAAATCACAGCACTATTTCCTGGCTAAATAGTCAATAAACTATTATTAATAGTGGGCTGGAAACCTAAAAAATTGCATTTTTCTTTCAAACCTCTACTTGTTCAAGGGAATCTATGATTTATTTTTTTACTGAACATTATTAAAGTTGGTTTGACTTGTAATTGGCAAAAAAAGATAACAAAATAATTTAATTAATCCAGAGACTTCAATACCATATACAATTATAGACCTGATGATTAAGCTCCATGACTTACACTATTCACTCTCATATTGTACATGCTGATGGTCTCATACTTAAAACACGTACTAGCCTTGCTCACCCCTCCCTCCCAACTTTAAAAAAAGACTGTGTGGCCTCATTTGTCACTCCACCACATTAATTTACTCTACCACAACTATATACAACAGTGTTAGATATTGACTGGGATGCCCATTGGATTGATTTAATTATACATAGAATTGTATCCATAAAAAGTAGGTTTATGCCCCAATAGCTTCACGGTTTTGTTAAACCTGGTATCTGACAGTTTGAAACCATTCCTTGTACCTGTGTTCACTCTTTTGCCCAGATCATGTCTATATATAGTGTATACTAGTCAAAGGCAATAATCTAGGGCACCAAATAATCAATGCACCCACAAGTGTACATGGCAATCTTTACAGAATGGAAATATCCATAATAAACCATTTAAATTGCTGCGTGAAACATTAATACTGCTTCATAGAAGGGCAGTGGATACCTAGAGTAGCATTACAGTAGATCCCATATGGACTAACACAGTAAAGAAATCCTGAAGTATCAACAAGCAAAATGAGCCATAAATTGCAAAATTGGGGCATATGGGAGTTACAAGTAACGGGTGTTGGTCATATTACAGGGAAACTGTCATATCTCAGAATTTTAATATCATGGTTACTCATATTTAACAAATGTGTAATAGAGTGGTATTAACAAAATTGAAGCTTTTTTTCTGAAGCTGTGTGTCTCCTTCTTAGCCCAACTCATTTGCAATATGTGCCTTAAGTAGTATATGGCCAGTGGTTTAGACAGGTTTCTAGTACGGTTTGATAACATCTGACCACAACTTACTATCTCAGTTTGACATTCTCTACCAGACAAAATAAAGTTGTGTAAGAATCTTTCACTTTGAGTTCACTTTAAATTCTTGACAATTCTCACTTTAGTGAATAACCCTTATATATTTTTATCTTTATCCTAACCATAATTGTATAATTCAAATCGATCCTAAACTAAAGGCCAACAATCACTATTTTTATATAACCAATGTGTTCATCTATATCTAAATGTTTCCTCACAATCTATGAGTGCCATATTTTTGTTTTGTGTTCTAAAGAGACTGTATCCACTCAGTTTCATAGTATGTATGCAAACAGTGCAGTAAATGTATTGTTGTTAATTGTGCACATACAGGATTAAAGCAGCCTGGATCAGAAGATGCACAGCTTGTCATGAACCATCCTTTCCCTGTGCCTTCTCCATATGGTTCCTTGCAGCCTCCCACCCAGGTATGAACCTTATATTAGGTTGGATGCTGACAAAATAGCCAGAGCAATATTTTTTGATAAAGCACTATACATAATAATAGGTGAATATTGCGCACACAAAATAAATTAATAAAAAGGCCATGAAAAACTCAAAAAGTCGCCATAGTGTGTAAAGTCACCCCTGTGTCTTGTCATGGTAAATCCCTGACATACCTGTCATAAAACATATATAGAAAATAGTACAGGGGGTCTGGTAATATAAAAATAAATATTTATTACACATAACTAGCTTATATAGTTTTACATACAATAACATTTTCTTTTATTTTACACTATTGTGGTTACACATAAGGCACATAGTGTGCCATATGTCTAAGTTTAGCCCAGAACTGCTTTTAATGTTGCTGTTTATATATGCCGGCAATTGTTTCTTTAGGTACAGTTCACGTGTTTAGAAAGGGTCAGTCCAAGCATAGGCTCATCTAAATGCAGGTCCAAACTGCCCAGCCTGCCCTCTGTTTAGGTTTCTAAGGACACTTTTGGCTGAACTTGAGTTAGCTTTAATCCCTTTAACTTCATAATAATGAAAAACGTGTTAATAAAAACAAAAATACTTCCTTTTTATTTTTTAAAATTTTTTTTTACATTAAACGCTAGTAGTAATTTGTTATTCAAATAGTGATTTGTTATTGAATGAACAATCAGGTTTATTTAAAAAATAAAAATAAAAAAAACTATTTCAGCCTGTTTAAAGAGTATATGAAAAAAAACACATGGCGATATGTTTCCTTATTATGTTATTGATTGAAGGCAATATTTCACTGTTCGTTTTTATTTTATTTTCTCTATCAGCTATTCAGACTTTTGAAATCACACTTTTGCTATTCTGACTATTAAATCACAATTAAGAAAGTAAGAATAAGAAAACCCTAAAAGTTACTTTTTGTTTTGTTTAACATATGACTAAATCATAGCCTCATACCATAGCAGGTTTGTGACACGCTTATTATTTTTAATTAAGATATGGAATTTCACACTACGTTATGTTATTGTTTGTCTTAAGAGAAAAATAGCTCAACTTTCCACAGCTGGTGAATTGCAAGCATTTTTTTCCTGCTCTCTGATCATAAACTATAATGTGTGCATCTTCCTCTACAACAGGTGTCAAACTATATGATGCCTCATGAACGTAACTGGAGAGACTATGCACCAGAGCAACCACATCCTGAACTTCCTTACCAGTGCGCAACTGTCCCCTTTGCAACACGCAGTCACCTATGGCAAAACACTTCCTGTGACAATAGTATGTAGAGCTTTTTTCCCTTCTAACATTATGGGGCTCAGAACATTTGACAGAATGTTACTTAGGAAGGTGGCCATGCTAAGTGTACATTTTAATCAGGTTTCTCTTTTAACCCCTTAAGGACCAAACTTCTGGAATAAAAGGGAGTCATGACATGTCACACATGTAATGTGTCCTTATGGGGTTAAACGTGGAGAAAGAGGCAAAAATATTTATTCTGTAGATTTTCACTTTAATCAATAGAGCATTTCCCATAATCACTAGTTAGTAATGCAGAAATAATGTACCATAGATGAACATACTGGCGCTGATATTATTTCTGATAACCTTGATTAAACTACGTTTAGCAATACAAAACTGGAGCAACCCTTGGTCAAGGTGGTTGCTCTATAAGTATCAATAAAATTAAAGATATTAAAGAGGAACTGTCAACTCCCAGTATTTCTAATATCATGTTGTTTAACTATCCATATATAAAAAAAAATATATATTTGTGGTTTGTAATAATCTTGCAACTGGGTGCCTCCATCTTAGCTCCCTGTCAATCATTGTTATAAGCTCTGTCTGTGCACCTGGCAGTCAGCATAGGAAAGCATATCGAGATGAGGAGAAATCAAATGAAACAATGCTGACATTTCTCCTTGTCATTAGCATTATATTTTTCATGTCTTTCCCTTGTCTGCACTGGATTCTGATGCCATTTTCAAAATGTTTAATATAAACTTAAAGGAAAACCAAGCATCTCACAGAAACAAAGTTTAAATAGTTTCTCCAACCATCATAACTATTACAGGTTTCTGTAGTGGTTACGATGGTAGGAGTACCATGACGCTGTTCCCTGTTTTACAAAGGTTTGCCCTCTTAACTGGTCCTGACGGATGCCAACGATGTCTGAAATACTCCCAGTCAATGGGTGAGCCTTTATGCACCAAAAAAAAAACATGAACAGAATTGACATAAGCTAGCTTGGAACTCTTATTCTAGGCTGGCTAATTCCCAGAGAAGGATGTTGACCTCTTGCAGGAAAGGGGGGGAAACTCAGTATGTGCAGCGTTTTGATACTGAAATGCTGCACATACGGTCTCCATGCACCATGACCACTTCAAATCCCTGAATTGGTCATGGTGTCTGGAATAACCCTTTCAACGGCATGAATTATGGTGGCTGTTCTCATATAAACTGTTATAGGGTGAGTTTGCTAAAAAATTCCAAAGAACTGACAGATGAATTGTAAGTGTTGTGCCAAAATGTTTCAGCTGATTTTGAGAATCTTTCCATTTCTGTACTTTTGGTCCAAAAGATTGAATTCTCTTTTGAAATCTTTTAATACTAGCTCCATTTTATAATATTTCTCAAAATATATATATATTTTGGTATTGTTATACTTATCGGTGGAAAATGTTGCAATTGAAATGCTCCTTAATCACTAGTAATTATCTGCACCTTATCACTGAAGCAATTTCCACAATGTAAATGTATCTTCTTAAATGGCAGCCCATCAGATCATATCGTGATCCCTTTCTAACAGAGATAAATGTCTCCTCCTTTAAAAGTGTGCTGTAATATGCAGTGATATCTCTGTATACAATCAATAAAACTATGCATTAGAACAGTTTTTTGCATAGCTCTGACATTTGCATTATGTAACATGTATCAGCACAGAAAGTAACTTTAAGTGGGACTATAATATAAAATGACACATTTCAGAAAAGAACTGGCATCCATTTTTAAATTAGGTTTTACAAATATTATGGCATTTTTAATATATATATATATAGAACAAAATTATAAATGCAACACTTTTGTTTTGGCCCCATTTCTCATGAGCTGACCTTAAAGATCTAAGACTTTTTCTATGTACACAAAAGGACTATTTCTCTCAAATATTGTTCACAAATCTGTCTAAATCTGTGTTAGTGAGCACTTCTCCTTCCCCATGATAATCCATCCACCTCACAGGTGTGGCATATCAAGATGCTGATTAGACAGTATGATTATTGCAAAGGTGTGCCTTAGGCTGGCCACAATGAAAGGCCACTCTAAAATGTGCAGTTTTATCACACAGCACAATGCCACAGATGTCACAAGTTTTGAGGGAGCGTGCAATTGGCATGCTGACTGCAGGAATGTCCACCAGAGCTGTTGCCCGTGAACTAAATGTTCATTTCTCTAGCATAAGCCATCTCCAAAGGTGTTTCTGAGAATTTGGCAGTACATCCAACCAGCCTCACAACTGCAGACCACATGTAACCACACTAGTCCAGGACCTCTACATCCAGCATCTTCACCTCCAAGATCGTCTGAGACCAGCCACCCGGACAGCTGCTGCAACAATTGGCTTGCATAACCAAATAATTTCTGCACAAACTGTCAGAAACCGTCTCAGCGAAGCTCATATGCACGCTCGTCGTCCTCTTCGGGGTCTCGACCTGACTGCAGTTCGTCTTTGTAACTGACTTGAGTGGGCAAATGCTCACAATTGATGGTGTCTGGCACTTTGGAGAGGTGTTCTTTTCACGAATGAATCCCGTTTTTCACAGTACAGGGCAGATTGCAGACAGCGTGTATGGCATTGTGTGGGTGAGCGGTTTGCTGATGTCAACGTTGTGGATCGAGTGGCCCATGGTGGCGGTGGGGTTATGGTATGGGCAGGCGTATGTTGTGGACAACAAACACAAGTGCATTTTATTGATGGCATTTTGAATGCACAGAGATACCGTGACGAGATCCTGGGGCCCATTGTTGTGTCATTCATCCACGACCATCACCTCATATTGCAGCATGATAATGCACTACCCCATATTGCAAGGATCTGTACACAATTCCTGGAGGCTGAAAACATCCCAGTTCTTACATGGCCAGCATACTCACAGGATATGTCACCCATTTAGCATGTTTGGGATGCTCTGGATCGGCATATACGACAGTGTGTTCCATATCCTGCCAATATCCATCAACTTTGCACAGCCATTTAAGAAGAGTGGACCAACATTCCACAGGCCACAATCAACAACCTGATCAACTCTATGTAAAGGAATTTGTGTTGCACTGCGTGAGGCAATTGGTGGACCCACCATATACTGACTGGTTTTCAGACCCCCCACGGACCTCCCTGGACTGCACCAATACAGTAAAACTGCACATTTTAGAGTGGCCTTTTATTGTGGCCAGCCTAAGGCCCACCTTTGCAATAATCATGCTGTCTAATCAACATCTTGATATGACACACCTGTGAGGTGGATGGATTATCTCGGCAAAGAATAAGTGCTCACTAACACAGAATTAGACAAATATGTGAACAATATTTGAGAGAAATAGTCCTTTTGTGTACATAGAAAAAGTCTTAGATCTTTGAGTTCAGCTCATGAGAAATGGGGGCAAAAACGAAAGTGTTGCGTTTAGAATTTTGTTCAGTATATATATATAACGTCCTCCTCTCTTTTAGCACAGCCACCAAGTTGAATAAGCCTTTGCCAGTTTTACAGTTATCTAACAGGTCTCATCTTTTAAGGCTGCTAGTTTATGGGTTGTAATTAATATTTTTGAACATTTATACTTTATTTTATTGTTATTATATTAATTTTACATATATGCTATTGTTATCCTGATCTTGCTTATCTTTGGCAATTAAACACATTATTTATTGGCCTGCCATTGCTTTCTAGACTATTAATCCTGCCCAATTTTTATGAGTCTCACATCGTAATATGTGCTTAACCTGAACATTTTTATCTACCTTTCACTCTTTAACAGTGCATTGAATAGGACGTCCCTATCTTATGGCAACCCCCAACTCTTGCATATTCCCAGACCTGATGACTGGTATGGGATTCCTTCTTTAACCTCATTGCACTTCTTAGCTTATTCCCTCTGCGCCATCACTCTCTATCTCTTTGAGGTTCATGCCATCTGCCTTTTTCAGCACTTCTCGCTACACATTAAATTTATCTACTGTCCACCTGGCTACTCTAGCTCCTTCTAGGAACACTTTTAAGCCTGGCTCCCTCACTTCTTGCTTCTTGACATTCTCTCTGTTATCTGCAGAGATGTTAAGATCTCTGCAGATGCACCGAACCAGCTCAGAGGCTCATGCAGTGGTCAAATTCCACTACACATCAAGCCAGCAACACTTGAGACCTTATCTTCTCTAATCTTTCCTCTATTGTTACTTTCACAAACACACTGCTCCCTCACTCTGATCACAACCTCCTAAGCTACCATTGTCTTGTAGCCAACTGAACCACCCTCACTTGTCACACATAGACTCTGCAGAAACCTGAAATTCCTTGATCTGCAGGAGCTTTCCATTGATATCCAACTTCTCCTCTCACCAATCTCAAACCTACCCTTTTAAACATTCTGTCCTCTCAAGTACCCTAGATAAGCTATGTCCACTCACTGCTTGCCCTTCCCATCAAACTAAATACCAACCCTGGCATATGAAATGTTCCTGAAACCCCTAAAGCTGTGGGTGGTGGAACGTTTCTGGAGGAAGCTTTGTAGTATGGCAGACTTCCTGCACTACAAATGTATGTTGCATTCCGGCAGCTGTGCCCTCTCTCTCAAACAGGCTTCACCTCCCTCATCTCCATCTTCACCCTATGAGCCCTATGAACCTCTACTAATCTCACTTCTGTCACTTTGCATCCTTTTACATCTGAAAAGAAAAGACCTCAGTTGCTTTTCCCCCCAACTGTCTAACTCTTTGCCCGACCTCCTCCTCTACACTTATAAATTCTTTACAATTTCTAAAGAGGAGGTTTCTGTGCTTTTTCTTTCTTCCTGCCCTACCCCATGTGCCCTTGATCCCATTCCCATGCACCTTACTCAAACTTTCTCATCTGCAACTCTCCTATTTTTGACTGAATTCTTTATCTTTAGGCATTTTCTCTTCTCCTTCAACCACATGCTGATCACACTAAAAAAAGCATTCTCTTGAGCCGGATGCTTTCCCTAGCTTTTTTCTCCCCTTTACCTCCAAGCTATTTGAATGACCTGTCTATATTCAACTCACAGACTATCTTCAAGAACGAACCCTTGTTGTTCGTTCCTCTAAGGCTACATGTGTCCCTGTTTACCTTCATGTCAAAGAGCTATCATAACCTCTCACCACTAGGCATTGTTTTGGTGTGCTCTTTGACTCTGACTTTTTCTTCCCCCTTTAGATAATATCTTCCCCAAAGTCTGTCAATTTCTCACATTCATCCCTTTCTCATTCAGGATGCCACTAAAATGCTTGTCCATGCTCCACTGTAGTCTCTACTGTAGCTTCTCAAGGGCCACCCTTTCCTAATGGAATGCCCTCCTGTGACACATTCTACTCTCCCTATCTCTGCAGTCCTTCAAAAAATTATAAAAAACACAATTATTTAGAGAAATCTACCAGCTTGTCCCTTAACTCCTCTACCCTGATTACCTTCCTCTGCTGTGCTCCATCCTCCCAAATGTTTGCCCCATCCCTCCAGGTACATCCAGATAATCTGAGTCCCTAACAAACCCTAATAGCAGCAGATGAGAAGAACTCAATATACTGTGTAAATCAAAGGCTCTTCAATCATACGTTTAACTGATAGGCAAGTCAGTGCCTCTCTAAATCACAATATAGCTAAGCTATTCACTGCTATACAGCTTCATAATGATATACAGATATATAATTACTTCATACAATTATGGTGCTAAGAACCAGAGCAGGTTTAATTTTTGTGTTGAATTTACTGCTTACCATATAGGTACAATGTAGACTCCAAAACTGCTTACTAATTCAATTTTTTATTATGCAGGTTACCAAGTAACTGGATCATTTTATGCATGTGCACCGTCTGAATCACAGGCCCCAGGCCTTCCACTGGAGCCAAGTATAAGGACTGGGGAGGCCATTGCATTGACAGGTATGTTGCACTTGTATCATCATCAAACTACAAGCTATATATATATATATATATATATTAATTTTTATTATTTCTTTTCATTCATAGTTATCTTTAAAACATATGATAAGTGGCATAATATATCTGGCTATTACTTTTCTCTTTCTACATCAAATAATGCCTGTGCCTCTTGCATTGGTTCCTCTTATCTTTAGATGAGGGACCTTTCTATTTAAGACATGTGCATTACATATACAATCTAATTTTACAAATGTGCTCTGATTTATTTTTATTATCTTAATTCTGTTACATTGTCACTGTAAGCAGCATAACCACTTTAGCTATCATGGTTATGGCCCAGCTACCCTTGACCTTTAATTATCATTTCAGATTAGGAGGGAAAATATATTTTCTTATTTTCTTAAATATATTTTCTTACCCAGCTGTAATCTTATCAATCAGACAGGTAGAATTATACTTCTTCCAAGCATGCCCATTTCATTCCAAGGTGTGCTTGTGGTGTGCAAATCATTTTTCACTCCCCTACCTTTCTCTTTCCTCTTCTTTGGTAAAATTGGAGACATAAACGCATACATACTGGTTCAGCAGTGTTGGCAAACATCGTAAATCGCCCTGAACAGAATACTGTGAATGGGGCTCTGAATAAACTGCATTATGGCTAATAGCTTACAGCCCAGTTCCACTCATTAAATTTGATGAATGAACTGAGAAAGTTGCTGAACTACATATTCCTTAACCCCTCAAGGACCAAACTTCTGGAATAAAAGGGAATCATGACATGTCACACATGTCATGTGTCCTTAAGGGGTTAAACCACTGCTGTACAGGGGTGCATTGCATAAGAAAAGAAAAAAAAAACAAGGCAGAAATGAAATGCTCATAATTGGTGGAGCCTCTTTCTGTTCTGTGAGACACTTTTCTGTGCAAGAGCAGCAACGTTACAATAATAAATGATAAGTATTCTATCATTGTTTTTGTGTGTGCAATTTTCAATGTAAAATATGCCCTAGAACTACATTCAAGTCACAAACAATAAGCTGGGGTGAATTAGAAGCTCATAACTGTCCAGTAGCCAATTAATTCCAGTCATAAGTAAAGACAGCCACTGGGACGCTACTCTATACCACAATAATGTTTACTTGTAAACAGTGTTTGGACAATGGAGAGAACTCTGAATTGAACTTGAAGTTGTGTTGTTTCATTAGTGTTTATAGTGGCGATTGTCTGATCTCCCTCTAACGCAAGCACACACTGTAATAAAACCGCTAATAAAGAACTAGTATAAAAAAGACACATTGTAATGCAGTTTGGATCAAAGGTAACTATTATTTTGCAATTTGTGATGTAAAAGTTCAGATCCCACTTCCTGACAATGCCTCAAAATTTCCTCCAATTTTCCTAGATCGGTACCCATTTGATATATCCCCAATGGAGTGTCAACCCTGTGACAGATATTTGTGTCATCTACGAAAAGGTATTCTTTTCCATTAAAACCACTAATGATACAATTAATGAGCATTTTAAACATGACACCCAGAGTATCCATACATTGATGGCTGGCAAACTGTATTGCCTTTGAGTGTATCCATGACAACAAGACATTGTTGTCTGGTACTGAATATGCCATGTTGATAAAAGCTAGTATTAGTATGACCTATTGACCTTTCTTGTAACAGCCCCTCTGGTGTACATATATATGTGTGTGTGTGTGTGTGTGTGTGAATATATATTTAAATACAAGTTCCTCTTTTATTACAGAATAAAAAGGAAGCAATACACTTAACATTCATTTTAAATTCTGCTAAAATTATACACACTGAAAACCAACTGCAGTTAATTCAAAACTCAAATTTCAGAATACAGGGAGTGCAGAATTATTAGGCAAGTTGTATTTTTGAGGATTAATTTTATTATTGAACAACAACCATGTTCTCAATGAACCCAAAAAACTCATTAATATCAAAGCTGAATATTTTTGGAAGTAGTTTTTAGTTTGTTTTAGTTTTAGCTATGTTAGGGGGATATCTGTGTGTGCAGGTGACTATTACTGTGCATAATTATTAGGCAACTTAACAAAAAACAAATATATACCCATTTCAATTATTTATTATTACCAGTGAAACCAATATAACATCTCAACATTCACAAATATACATTTCTGACATTCAAAAACAAAACAAAAACAAATCAGTGACCAATATAGCCACCTTTCTTTGCAAGGACACTCAAAAGCCTGCCATCCATGGATTCTGTCAGTGTTTTGATCTGTTCACCATCAACATTGCGTGCAGCAGCAACCACAGCCTCCCAGACACTGTTCAGAGAGGTGTACTGTTTTCCCTCCTTGTAAATCTCACATTTGATGATGGACCACAGGTTCTCAATGGGGTTCAGATCAGGTGAACAAGGAGGCCATGTCATTAGATTTTCTTCTTTTATACCCTTTCTTGCCAGCCACGCTGTGGAGTACTTGGACGCGTGTGATGGAGCATTGTCCTGCATGAAAATCATGTTTTTCTTGAAGGATGCAGACTTCTTCCTGTACCACTGCTTGAAGAAGGTGTCTTCCAGGAACTGGCAATAGGACTGGGAGTTGAGCTTGACTCCATCCTCAACCCGAAAAGGCCCCACAAGCTCATCTTTGATGATACCAGCCCAAACCAGTACTCCACCTCCACCTTGCTGGCGCCTGAGTCGGACTGGAGCTCTCTGCCCTTTACCAATCCAGCCACGGGCCCATCCATCTGGCCCATCAAGACTCACTCTCATTTCATCAGTCCATAAAACCTTAGAAAAATCAGTCTTGAGATATTTCTTGGCCCAGTCTTGACGTTTCAGCTTGTGTGTCTTGTTCAGTGGTGGTCGTCTTTCAGCCTTTCTTACCTTGGCCATGTCTCTGAGTATTGCACACCTTTGCTTTTGGGCACTCCAGTGATGTTGCAGCTCTGAAATATGGCCAAACTGGTGGCAAGTGGCATCGTGGCAGCTGCACGCTTGACTTTTCTCAGTTCATGGGCAGTTATTTTGCGCCTTGGTTTTTCCACACGCTTCTTGCGACCCTGTTGACTATTTTGAATGAAACGCTTGATTGTTCGATGATCACGCTTCAGAAGCTTTGCAATTTTAAGAGTGCTGCATCCCTCTGCAAGATATCTCACTATTTTTGACTTTTCTGAGCCTGTCAAGTCCTTCTTTTGACCCATTTTGCCAAAGGAAAGGAAGTTGCCTAATAATTATGCACACCTGATATAGGGTGTTGATGTCATTAGACCACACCCCTTCTCATTACAGAGATGCACATCACCTAATATGCTTAATTGGTAGTAGGCTTTCGAGCCTATACAGCTTGGAGTAAGACAACATGCATAAAGAGGATGATGTGGTCAAAATACTCATTTGCCTAATAATTCTGCACTCCCTGTATAGACGAAACTAGCCAAGTTGCTGTAAGTTGGATCATTTTCTCAAAGCAGCCTTTGTTGACTACATTTCGTGATTTGGTTTCTCAATTCACTAAAAGACTGAAGGATATCAGTGCACAATGTATTGAAATCAACATCAAACAACTATCTAAGGTTCCATACATGGAACTATCTAAGGTTCCATACATCTTGATATGACACACCTGTGAGGTGGATGGATTATCTCGGCAAAGAAGAAGTGCTCACTAACACAGATTTAGACAAATATGTGAACATTATTTGAGAGAAATAGTCCTTTTGTGTACATAGAAAAAGTCTTAGATCTGAGTTCAGCTCATGAGAAATGGGGGCAAAAACGAAAGTGTTGCGTTTAGAATTTTGTTCAGTATATATATATAATGTCCTCCTCTCTTTTAGCACAGCCACCAAGTTGAATAAGCCTTTGCCAGTTTTACAGTTATCTAACAGGTCTCTTCTTTTAAGGCTGTTAGTTTATGGTCTGTAATGAATATTTTTGGACATTTATACTTTAAATGTTTGTAGGCTGGGGTGAAGACATATATAGTTATTATTGCATCTCTCAGCATTGAGATTTCATGACATGACATTTACTATCAGAACTGTTTATGTTGTTGTCGTAAAAACATTGTAGTAGATTTTGAGATTAACAGTTTTAAACTAAAGGATAATTTACCATTAGCCTCATCTTCCATGATCTGAGCTCAGGCTAAAAAATTTTTTTTTCTCAGACCCCTACTTAAATCTCAATATGTGCCTCACACACCGTCGTAAATGCAACAGGCGCAATTGAGAAAGAGGCTCATTATTCAGCAATTTTCCACTGAATTAAAAAAAAATTTCTTATACATCTCAGCTCTTTCTCATAAATTGTAAGCATGGCATTATTGATACCATGCTGTTTTTTTTTTTATACCCAGCTTCATTTAGGACACTCTTCTGATGTGGAAGATGTTGTTTACATATCAATAAATCAAAAATGCTTCCCTATGCACTTTTTGGGTAAATGTGTTATCTCTCATTCTGCCTGCACTCACCTCCCCTTCTCTTATCCTGAAACGCAAAGCAAATGTCAGCTTTCACCAACAGACAGCAAACCTCTCAGGTATCCCTATTTAGGAGGGAGAGTACATATTTTGGGCCCAAATTCCTCTGTCCTGCTTTTCTACTGGTATAATCAGAAAAACTAAGCTACATCTACTGTTCTAAGTATGTTAAGCAATTGGGATGTGGATGTGTTTAAAAGCAAACACACAATCTAATTATTTCCCCAGTCTGCTGAGTAAAACACATTACTGAGTCAACGATCTAAGATAACAATTAAGCTATGAAAGCGTATGCATATAGATATTGTTACAGATATAATAGTAAAATAGAAAAATAAAAGCATTGACTTCCTAGGGCAAAGAATTCCCAAATCCAATACCATATTTCTTCCCTCTAATCCTTCATTACTGTTTGGTAGTCTACCATATCAGATATCACCCTATTGTATATGCTACGGAAAACAAAGCAGACCTCATTATCATGCAGCAGCAATGCCTAAATTGTTATCATATTGAAATATATTATCTACACTATTGTTAAACGAGTCATCTTTTTTTACAGACTGCCGATTACATATCAGCTTATACTATCGTGATACATTGGTTAATGAGAGAACCACTAGTAACCCAGAAGGCTGCAGGATCACACATGGACAAAACTATGAAATAAGTTGTTTGGATCAAGTGGTTTTCCCATATCCAGAGGACAGCAACTTGAGGAAAACAATTGAGAAGATGTTGAACCATATGGAGAGGGGTGTTATTGTGTGGATGACTCAAGATGGAATCTATGCCAAGAGACTATGCCATAGCAGAATATACTGGGAAGGACCTCTATCTATTTACAGTGACCGACCAAACAAACTGGAACGGGATATGCCATACAAATTGTTTGACACGCAGCAATTTTTAACAGGTAAATTCAGGATTGATCTAGAATTGTTTGACCTGTTTGTAAATTTATCTTTTCCTGTACCGTCAATATTTCAAATTACTCACAGAGAGCCATAATATTGATTGGTAAAATATCTACCAAGTATTTTCACATGATAATATGTTAATAAACACACCCTGCTCTGTTTCTACTACCTGCTGCTCCAACCAAAATGAACCTTAATTGCTGATACCTTTTGTCCAGTGATGGCTTGTTCATAGGGCCAATGATGGCAGTGCCTTACTATATAATTGTTGTAGGAAAAATTCTATTGCCAGTAGTAAAAGATTAAATGAACAACACGATCCATTATAAATAGTAAATATGAACCATACAGCAATATAGTACTATAATTTTGCTTCCCCTTCCACCGGAGCACAAACTAATTCACGGATACTGAATGATTTACTGCGTGGATAAGCTGTTGTGAGCAAGGGGGCATGTTTGAAAATTGCCCATTAAAAGCGTACCACCAACAAGCTCATTCTCTTCCTCGTGGTGATTTCTGATGTGCCTCACTTAATCTCCAGTAGGGCATCGTCAGAGTCACTGCTTCTAAAGAATCCTACAAACACAGAGCTGGGCTTGTTGTATAAGGTTCTTTTATTGTGCACTTAATATAGTCCCTTCATATGGCATGTCAAGCAATGATTTTTTTTTCTGATTTATCTAATTAAAGTTTTATGTCCATATAAGAAATTGAACCCCAGTTGCCAGTGTAAAAAAACTAAAAAAACTTAACTAGTATGCAACACATGAACTGTATTCAGACTTTGTAGGCTTATTAAAAAAACAACAAAAATATCAAGCCAGTTTTAATCACTGACAATTAGTAATGCACAAGTCTAGAAAAAAAGTAAGTACTTGTAATTACATCTCCAATTATCTGTCCCAATAATATCCCAAAGAAATATTTCCATTTCTTTTTTGCTCTTATGCATGATGCAGCAGGAGTCTAGGTTCCTGACTTGATTGTTTTTCTATCTATTATCAGAGCTGCAGGCCTTTGCTCACCATGGGCGTCCAATACCAAGGTTCCAGATAGTTTTGTGTTTTGGGGAAGAATTTCCAGACCCTCAGAGAGGGAGAAAACTAATAACGGCTCACGTAAGTCTAACTGCAGTTACCATTGCCATTTCCTGTTTCCTCCGAGGAAATTCATCTGAAGCTGTACATAGTTATTGTATATGCTGCATGCTACTGAAAGCAGTCATCATCATTACTTGTCAACATTTTCTCTATAAACTGGTACTCTCAGGATTCTGGGAATTCCCAAATGGGGAATCTTTATTTACCACAACAACGTGGATGCAAGGAAATAGCACAGAATGAGTGTGTGTGTCTCGCAAAAAAATAAATAAATATTTATTAAAACATCTTGGTGCCAAGCAACAAAGTGAGAGATGAAAATTACAACCAAAGCTAAACATGATTTGTGTGCCTAAACACTTACTTATATGTGCCTAGCCACAACTTGTGTTTAGCGTTGGATGTGGTTTTTATCATCTCTCTCATTGCTATGTTTGGCACCAAAATGTTTTAATAAACGTTTCTTTGTAAGATAATCAAAACCTAGCCCATCTGTACTGTTCAGTTGTATCTCTCTCTCTTGTATATATGTATATATATATAATGCATATTCTTTGACTTAAACCTGCATTGTTTTTTGTCTAGATTGAGCCTCTGTTTGCCAGACAGCTGATTGGATTTGCTGAACAAAATGGTGGACATTTTATGAGAGGATATGATTTATCAGATCACATCAGCAGCTCAGAAGAATATCATCGGCCAATTCGCCATACCCCACTTCAAGAATGAAATTCAAAGATTTTTTAATCCACACTATGGTACTGTGGTGTGGAACCCATAACTGACAATATCAACCTACTGAGGAATCTACATTCTTTCACAGAGAGATGGATGTTCCTCAAACTTGAATATATACTGAGAAATGAACCTTTGGAACTTTTGTGGATATATAAGCAAATTACATAATGAATTGCATATTTGTGGATAGTGCCTAACTAGTCAACACAAAAGATTTTCTGCATTCTGTGATAACAAAAATGTAATTTTTGCTACTTCACTATCACCTCATCCTAATTTTAAACTAGGAACATGAACAGTCTAAAGAAACAAGTGGTCTTGAATAGAACATTGCAACCAAACTCTTTTCTGGTTAAAAATAGTTTATCTCCTAGTGGACACTGAAGGAATTTGTGTTTCAATATAAAACGGACATGTGTGTCTTTCTTCATAATTAGATAGACCTTCAAATTCATAATCTACTTTTAACACGTCCCAGTGCTGGCTTCCATAAATATATCTATTTAAAAATGCACCCTGTTACTAACTTTCTCCCTTTTCAGTCTATCTCTTTCACTTTCTAACTTAAACCATGCTGAGCTGCACTAACACATAAGAAAAGAATGTTTTTGCAAAAAAAATCTTCTGGGTTTAATTAATTTTATTTTTTTTAAAGGCCCAACTTCTTACAAAGTGAAAATGTTACTTTTCATTTAGCCTCTAAAATAAGCTGACATTTTCATTTAATAGAGATGCTTTTTTTTGCGAATCTCATATTTAAAAAAAATAAACCTCAATATTCAAAAAACATAATATTTTCCCCCATGTTTTTAATCGCATATATGTGAAAAAAGATTCACATTATATATATATATATATATCCAATTATTTGCAGGCTAAAATTGATTTTTTAGTATCAATGATAGAGTCAATTTGACATTTGCTGTCTTTGATCACGTATGTCTACTAAAAATGTCTCCATCCACCCTCAAGATGGCATTCTGTAATATGCGATGGCTCTAAGCTGCCCTAGAGATTCCAGGAGTTGTAGGGGTCACTTAGAGTCAGGGCTGGCTGCATATAAAGTCACTAATAACTGCCATATTTGTAGTACTTACCACAATGCCAATGAAAAAGAAAAAGAATGTGACAAACAGGAAGAACTATATATATTCCCCCATTTTCTGGTCCCTAGTGATGTTAATAAGGACTCAGCACCCCTGTACAGAACAGTATAATAACAGCGCAGTAGTGTGCTAAATATTTAGAAAGAGCAATGTTTAGAGGAAATGTTATAAAATGACACCAATCATGCGTTCTATGACAGGTGTACTTAATATGATAAAACTGGAAATATGCATCTTAGAGATGTGACTATTTGGGATATAATATCCCCAATTATATTGCTTGCTAGCTTGGCAGCCACAAATATTAACCCTTTAAGGACACGACATGTGTGACATGTCATGATTCCCTTTTATTTCAGAAGTTTGGTCCTTAAGGGGTTAAATGTTCTTTTGCTATCTTGCTTTTCTTGAAGCTTCTGCAATGTCATGCTCTTAGTTTGCAATTTATGGCTATAGCTATGTTGTGAATAGCATATGAAAAGCTTTTAAGCATTGCTCTTTCTACTCTCTGTATATCCATCCATTGGTCCAGACTCCTATTTATGAGGACTCAACAATGCTGACCTGAATAGGACAATCCCCGTTTGGACAGTGTACATTTATTGAGTTGCATCATACAAGAACAGCTTATGGAACCTAAAAGCCAGGGTTTGGCAAGTCTAGAGCCTCTAGACTTAAAGCAGACTCATTACCAAAGTGAAAAAGGAACAATATTTACTTTAATACCTAGAATATTAAATATATATAAATATATATGTATATGATGTTATTTTTTCAATGTAATTTGTAAGATATTTGTCAACCTTTTTTTTTATTAATAAAATACAAAACACACACATTCCAATTCCATCCCATTACTTCCTGCTTTCTGCACCAATTAGAATGTGTTTAAATACAAAAAAACTCAAAAGAGAGTGAGCGTGGGTTAGCGCTACTATAATGTCAAAAGTGAAAAATTACTCTTATCCCTCACCTTCAATTGTATATGAAAACCAGTGTCTTATAAGTGATATATTTATCAAACAATTGTGAAGCGCTTAAAAGTTATTTAACATGCAATTGTTCATACCTCTAAAAAAACACAATGGAAGTCTGAATATTGTCTTAGAACATGAAAAATAAGAGCATAAACAAAGAATTGTGCAGTACAAATCGTGTGGTCAGCTAACAATACAGGCCTCTGGGGGAGGCCAAATAAATAAATTATTATTATTACTAATTCTTACGATGGTTTAAGTGGATTGTTATAGAACACTCTTTTTCTCACAACAATATGAACCAATGTCCTTACATATTGCAAGCAAAACTAACCAACATAATGCAAACAATTCAGCTGTTCAGATTAATGAATCCAGTATGTGATTGTAACTAATAATTCTCTATATTTGCTGATTTTGTGCAAAAAGAAACTTTAGGAAAAGATTGAGAAATTAACTAAAAATCATTTAGCGAACACTTTAAATATGTTGCATGGAATGTGATTTAGATAAATTCCTTCTTATTCTCCTTCTGAAATTGACAGAAATGGAAAGAGTATAGGCATGTGCACGGGGTGTGCCTGGGCACACCCTAATCCCGGCGGCACGCGCTATGTGCCTCCCTCCATGGGCCGGTGAGGGGGATCAAAGATCTGCCCAGGCAGAGAGGGAGGCAGGAGAGGACCCGGGGAGCTCTTGTCAGCAGCTCATCCTGGGCACACCCTAATCCCGGCGACACGCGCTATGTGCTTCCCTCCATGGGCTGGTGAGGCAGATCAAAGATCTTCCTCACCAACCCACAGGCAGGGAGGGAGGCAGGAGAGGACCCCGGGAGCTCTTGTCAGCAGCTCCGCCGGGTTTCTCTCTCGCGGTCGGAGCGTTGCCGTGGTCACCGCAGCAACGCTCAGATCTCGCAAGAGTGAACTCTAGCCCCACAGACTAGAGTTCACTCTCCACTGGACCACCAGAGAAGGCAGGAGCACGGTCCCCCCTCCCTACATAAGGTAAGAAGAGAGGGGAGATATTAACTAAATGGCCCCCACACCCCCACACATTACACACAAACATACAGCACACACACATACATCACCCTTACACACACAGCACACACACACACACTAACAGCACCCTCACACTAACAACACCCTTACACACACAGCACACACTAACAGCACCCTTACACACAGCACCCTCACACAGACAGCACCCTTACACACACACAGCACACACTAACAACACCCTTACACACACACACACACACACACTAACAACACCCTTACACACACAGCACCCTCACACACACAGCACACACTAACATCACCCTTATACACACAGCACCCTTACACAGACACACACTAACAGCACCCTCACACACACAGCACCCTTACACACACACAGCACACACTAACAGCAGCCTCACCCACACACACAAAGCACACACTAACAGCACCCTTAAGCACAAATCACCCTCACACACACACACACACACACTAACAGCACCCTTACACATAGCACACACTAACAGCACCCTTACACACACAGCACCTTCACACACAGCGCCTTCACACACAGCACCCTCTCACACACAGCAGTGTGTGTGTGTATGTATGTATATATATATATATATACGCGGCGTGTGTGTTTCTGCTTTAGGGTGCACACCCTTATACAATAGGCTGCGCACGCCTATGGGAAATAGCACAATATTTTTTTCATTCATAAGTGTTGTTTTTCTAGCATCCTTAAGGGCATTTAGGGCAACAACCCACCAAGTAATTGTTGTCATAAGAAAAAATATTTTTAGGTAAATCTATTGTCTATTGGTAAAAGAGTGAATTACTGAAATTATTTCCCTTTGTGAAACTAGGCATGTGTAGAATTTAGGTCATTTTTTGAAACTGTCCAGTCAGAGAGCACATTTGACATGATCAGTGCACCACTAGAGGGGCTTTTTTTTAAAGTGCTCCATTTAATATCTAGGGGGCGTTTAAATTAGATGCCTGTGTGTCATCCAAAAAGAACAATGTGTGCCTTTAGTTTAGACACTACATGTGTCTGATTAAAATGTGTTTCTCAAAACCAGACACATTCTGCAAATATTTACCCAAGAACCACCTCACTGCCTGAGTGGTCTCCAGGGCAGTTCCATTATTGTTCAGTCATGCATCCTCAAGTCTTCTTTTTTAAACTTGGATTTTTCTCTGCTGACAATTTTGTAATGAATTCATATTTTTGCATAATTTATTGTACTAGAGCAATAACAGTGGAACCCATAAACCTAAGCAAACGCATTCATGCTGGAATTGGAGTTTCTAAAAATGGATATAGAGTCAAATATTGTGGGTGGAATCTGGGGCCTCACCATCTTAAAACTTTACGAGCTGCGATTGTTTTCTAGTAACCAAAGGATCAGATTTCTGTCATGTTAAACATAGTCTTGAAGTGTCTTCCATGCATTCTAGACCTTTGTACAACTTCTGGTTAGAATTCTTCATGTGGTTTGTCTAGTGACTCTTCCATGGGGTCATAACTTGGTTCTTACACAATAATTTTTTTTATTTTATTTTTTATACCCACAGAAATCAATGGAACAAAAAAGCAACTAGCCCTTTAGAGAGCTAAACTAAAATTTCTTCCAGGAAAAAAGAATGCAAAAGCTATATATATTATATTCTTGCCCACGTAAACTAACGCTACCATGCAGCTCTCAAGGCTTTTACACTAATAGCTACAATAATTAAACTTGGATAATTTCAAGTTATATGGATGGTTCTTAGTGTATTCTTCTTATTATTATTAAAGATATAGCAAAGAGGCCCACATATATTAATAAAACAAACGTTGTTTAGAACTACAATTAAAAAACCTATTGTAAAAATGATATGTCAGAAGGGAAATCAGCCATATTACAAAAGTAAAATAAGTACAGCAAACCCTGGAAAACAGAAATCAGATAAGGTTATAGAGTAAAAAACGTATTTCTGTTGAATTTGTATATTTGAATTCACCCATGAAAAACAAGATTGCGTGAGTAGTAGACAACACTTTGGGGCAACGTTTAGATTTCAATTTCTCCTAAGTTCCAAGCAAAAAAACATGCTTATACACAGCATGTACTCTGATAAGAAAGGTGGTTAATCTTCATTATATTACTTCCTGTTCGATTTTCACTATGAGAGTAACGAATGTAGAAGAGACAGTTCAACAGTGTGAGTAAGAAAGAAACATTACAGGTTGTGTTGGTAAAAAGATGACCTTATTAAACGTTCAGATATATCACAGAACCTATTCTAAAATCAAAGAGCATTTCCATAGTTGTGGGGTTGTGAAGAGTTTATATTTTTCAATACAATGCAGTGTAGCAATTATGAATTTCATTCTACTACACCCCCCGATTTCCTTTATTTAAGTCATTATTTATTAAATCAAAATGTACAATACAGCAGAGTCAATGTCCAGTTCCAAGTCACATAATGCATAGAGCATAAAAAGCATTCCTCGGGACTCTGAATTCACCTTTGCAGGCTGGGACGTTTGGTTCAATTGAAGCCAAGGGCTGAAGTAACGGAATACACAGGGGATGGGGCAAATGTCTGGCCGATATTTATTGCATCATCCTCCCCTCAGGCAACTTTCTGGGACTCTGCCCAAGTTAGGGAATGTGCTGCTATATGAAGGAGTTAATTCATTAATATGATGCTCAATGCAGTTAATACGTCTTACATGGACTTTTATGATATTATCTTTTCTTTTGTTTGGCCTTCATTCTATTTATCATTTTTGCTAGCCCTGTTGGCCATGGCTCTTTAATGAAATCCCGCCATTTGAATTAACATAGCTGATATTTGACCCAACATTTCCTATGTGCCAGTACATAATTTACGCCGAGTCTCGACCCTTCAGTCCGAAGATTAGCAAATTGTCATGTAGTTTAGATATGTTACATAAATTTATGCTTCAGGACTGTAGCCTGTTAAACAGTGTCTGATGTATATATAGCAGCTTTGGTACAGTATTATACTTTACCAAAAAATTAATTGTATTATCTCAACTGATAAAACATTGTGGTACCTTGACTTATATTGCTCACTTGTTTCTATGTCATCCATTTAACTTACACCTCAGAAAAATACAGATTGACGATAAAAAAAAAAAATAGTGCATAGGGGCAATAAGTCAAAAACTCTGTAAAACCATCTTACTTACTTTCAATGTCTTTTTTTTATTAACTCTTTTCTTAAGCCCCATTTAAAAATCAAAACAATTCAATACCCCCCCGAAATAATTGATCTGATAAATGGCTTTTCGGGATCCAATAAACTCGATAAAGCCATTTGGCTCTAACTTAATCAAGGCCCAAGATAGGAAGATGTCAAAATTCATCAAGGAAATACATCATAAAGATTAATATAGAAGAAGTTGTGCTTAGATATAAGCCATGATTAGGTTCTGATGAGGCATGAATGAGCATTAGGAGAGTACAATACTTATTAAGCAGTTCAGCAACAGTCCAATTTATATCAATAGGAGAGCAGGACAGGAGTCCTATTCTATAAGCTAAAGCCTGTTAGCATAAATCAGTTCTAGACTATGCAAGAGGTTACTGATGAATGAAGTAAGAAGACAAGAGCCAGGGTCAGTGTACATGAAATCAGTTCAAGAAGGGTGAATTCAAGAGAATAAAACAATAAGAAACACGAGGTTACCACACAAGTAATAGGTCTGAGAAAGGGAAAATTCTGTAATAGAGAGCCAT